ACAATTGAAATGATTATTTAGGGGCTAGCTCATGAGGATCCCCATGAGCATAACCGAAACTTCATGGACGTTTGTGGTCCTTTCTCATTTAAGAATATATCACAAGAATCAGTCTGTCTCAGGTTTTTCCCATTCTCTTTGATGGGTGAAGCTACCAACTGGTTATCTAAGTTGCCAAGAGACTCCATTACCTCTTGGTATGAGCTGATCTTAGTATTCCAAGTGACTCCATTACCTCTTGGTATGAGCTGATCTTAGTATTCCAAGTGATATTCTTTACCCCATTGAAGATAATGATACTCAGAGATAGCATCCAATGTTTTAAACATTTGGAAGGTGAGCCAATCCACGAGACGTCGCTGAGGTTTAAGAAGTTGGTGATGCAATGCCCAACTCATGGAGTTCCAAATAATGGGCTGCAGCAATACTTCTATAGGAGCCTCGACTCGGTGAACAAATGCGTTGTTGATCAACTCGTTCCAGGTGGTTTAATGCAACAACCCTATGAAGTACAGTCTCAACTCCTTGATTGCATGACCAAGATAAATAGGGCATGGTACACTCATGAGGACCAATTCTTTCCTCTCACTTTTAGAATAATACAAGAACAGATCGAAAAGGATCAAGAGAGAGACCAAAACATGGCCAAAATGATGACCCAGATGGATATTTTGGCTAAATATTGCATGGGTGTTGGTACAAATAGTGTTAATGTTGTGGGTGTTGGTGGAGTAAACCCCGATGAAGCACAATTTGAAGCATTGTACAACGAGGAAGTGAACTTCCTAGCCAATCAAGGAGGAGGCTATCGTGCAAACTACCCAAGACCGGGTGGAAATCAAGGTTAGAATAGAGAGAAAGGATGGAAAGACCGTGACAGAGATAGGTGTTGCGGCCGAATTGCACACGCAAGTGAACGTGATCGTTCAAGTATTAAAGTGGCTCTTCTTAAGAGTCGGGTATCGTACCCACAGGGACTTACGCTTAGAATTACTTAACTTCTGTAACTTTCAGCTAAACACAAGTGTATTCAAGATTAAAAAAGTGATTTAGTTTCTACTTCTAAGATTATAATAAAAATGTAACAACAACGATTCAATTTCAAGGGTTGAAAACAGTGATTGGGTAAAGTCTAGGGCTGCAGCTTTAATCAGGAATCATGCGATCAATATCATTTATATGGGTAATTATCAACTATCGAATCAATGAATCACAGGGTTAAATGTATGATCATGGTCTCCCGACCTCTAATTGCCTACGATAAATAATACCTTAACTACATCGTTGAGTGGGGATAGGTTGGATTAAGCACCGAGCATTTAATTTCTTTATGTATGGTGACCCAAGCAAGGTTTCTAGGTATATCCCTATCCTAAATACAAATTAACCCTATTTATTTAAAATTAATCATGCTCCTTATGTCCCACGTTCTATCCTCTTATTCCTCTCCCGAGTTCAATTTGGACAATTTATTTGTTTCAATGGTGATCAGTCATGAATACGGAAAATAAGAACATAAAAAAGATTCATTTAATAATTGACATTAACCCAATGAAAACTCAATAGATTACAATCATCTTGTAGCCACAGCCCTAGCACTAGGGTATTTAGCTACTCATAATCCAATAATCGATCAAACAATGTTCAAATAACATACAAATATCGAAAGGAAAAGTGTTTAGGAAAGAACCCTAAAAATGGTGGAAACGTTCTCCCAAGTCGTTGTTCTTCAAAACCCAGAAAAAGAATAATTAATAAAATAAAATAATGACCTATTTATACTAAAAGACAAAACGGCCAAATCTGGGACATCAAGGCGCAACGCGGAGGGACTTCCAAATCCTGATTCCAGGCACTTTGGCCTCCTCCGCGATGCAGGAACTCCACGGAGTGTTCTACCTTGTGATTGCTTCTTCGAATAAAACCTGGGACTTTTCTCCGTGACGCGCTAGCTACACGTCGTTTTCTGCCTCAATTCATAATTTTGCAAGCCAAATTATAGCTCCGCTCCGCGACGCGGAGAGGATACGGAACTGCCTTAGTGGCTTTTCCTCCAGCTTCTTCCTTGCTCTCTTTTTGCGCTCGTTTCTCCAATTAAGCTCACCTACACAACTAATCATGTTGGCTTGCTCATAAACAACTAAAAGATTCTATACCACTACAAACGAATACATTTTGAATTCAAACTAGGCGTAAATGCGGATATAATTAGCATTCTAGGCATATAAATATGCCTAAGTTCACTACCCCACACTTAAAGCTTTGTTCGTCCTCGAACAACTACTAACAAATCCTAGACCTAGACTCACTATATTGGTTTGTGCATCCACTACTAACTTCCAAGGATCTGTTCACAATTCACACATGCATGTTTTCGTTTATAATATACATAACTCATGTAGATGACTGAACAACTTTTTGCAACCAATGCATTCACGACAAGTGCCCATCACTCCAAGGAATAGTCCATACACTTGAGTTAGCCAATTGAATATAATTTAAGGACTTTGCAGACAATATGCACTCTCACTCAGTAATCAACATCACACATGCATGCACTGAGAACCATAAGCTTGCCCATTATGTACATCTCTAATAATAGAGTGTAAAACGCTCAAAATCAAACAGGACTTGGTTTGGTTGTGTTGAAGGCTTAAGGTAGGAGAAGATTCATTTAGATGCAATTAGTGACTCGTCCTCCCTAATGCACTATATTCAGCTCTCTTCTTACATTCACAACTTTTTCTTTTCATTAGCCCCCTTCTTCTTCATAAGATTTCACTAGTGTTACTAACCTTGCCTTATTGCTTACTTGCCCCTTTATTTCCTCAAAAAAAAATTGACACTCAACAATAGCCACCCTTGACTCAGAGATTTCTCTTGAGTTAAGGTGCACATTGCCCTTTTTAGGGCAGGGCCATCATCAAGGTATTCACTAAGTTAGCCACCTTCAACTTGGGTTTCTCCTAGTTGAGGTGCACAATGTCCTGAGGACCAGGGCCAATCTTAGATTCACAATCATGGGGTATCGGTTACCTTTTCTTTCATTCTTCCCCAACAACTACACATTTCCACCCTATGTACTTTTTCCGCTATTTTTACCTTTCTTCCTAACATAGTGCATTAGGGGTTGGGATCAAAACTACGGTATCAATAAAAGGGATTCAGCTTATTATGTGGGTTAGAATAAAATCAAGGCTAAAAGGCTCAATTGGGCTAGACTAGGAATCTTATTTCTGAACAGGCTTAAATTTCAAACAATTCAAAGAAAGCCTGTTATCACCTTTCAAACAAAATACCACTTGTATTTCGCTTCAATAACAACCTGGGCAAGATCTAGACTCAGATGCAATCATGGATATCATACAAAACTCACCGCTCCTAGCATAAGCTGTATTAAAAATGGATCAATCACAGCACATAATCATGTCACGCAGAAGGTTCAGATTAGGCTTAAGTTGCACATTCAAATCATAAACAAGAATTCAACAGCATTTATTCATCAATTTCAACCATGCTTTTCATACATACTCCCTTCACAGATTTTCTGCTTTAGCACAACCAAACCTAAGACTCAATGACGAAATTGCCCTTAAGATGGTTGTCATCCATCTATCATTGGGCAGCTTGACTCAATCTATGACTACAGACTCAATCCTATAAAAAAATCCTTTTATATTTTTGTACGGTTCAAAGGGACTATCCTTGGCTAAAGAACCGAAAACAACTACCAAGGAACCTAAAATCAAACAAAACAGAAAACAATGTTCAACACAATATATGTAGAAATCAGATATGTTTTTCACCCTCACCCTACACTTATACAATAGCACTGTCTCCAGTGCATTTCAAAATCTCAACAAAGTTCGAAAGGTAAGGTGAAAAAAACTCCCTGATCAATCCTCCAAGGCATCACCTCCATCAGCCTCATCACCAGCCTGTGTTGGGTCCATCTCCTCCTCTGAATCAGAATCCACATCCGAGCCCATGCGTAGGTTCTCTTCATCAGTCAGGATATCATTTTCAGTCAGCTCCCGGAACTCAGGACCAATGCCAAGCAATGCTTTAGCATGGTCATTTAAAAGATAGCGCTTGCTGACCTCCCTTATTTCCAGATCAGTAGATGACCGGCCACCTGTCTTGCGTCGTAGCATCTCCAAGCCATACATCCTAGCCATGATCAACTCATCTCTCCTGTGGCACTCTGCGGTGGTGAATGTGAGGTCAAACTCAGTGTCAGGACCCTTAGTCCGAGTAATGTCCATCGATGTAGGGTACAAAGGTGACATGTATTCCAACTACTCCTCCGGGACCCCTGCAATACGACACATTTTGGTAATCATCCCACCAAATGCATACATGTGCCCCTTGTGAATCCGGGCCTTCCGCATAGAAGATTTTATGATGGCTCCGATGTCCAACTCTATGTTAGTCATCAATGCATAAACAAGGCACACCCGGTCACGAGTAATATCAGTGTAATGTAGGCCCAGGATCAGATAGTCCATCACCACCTTCAGCCAGCCCAGGGTCCTCTACGCGACCCGGTCCCTTCACGGACCTCTCTGCCTCAAATTGGACCTGGCGAGGCAAAATGTTGCCTCACCTCCGCGACGCTGTCCCTGCACGAAGTTGCCTTGTGTGAAACTTCTTCTTCCTGCACATTTTCAGCTCAACACCCATTAGTAAAAACTATGATGGGTTGCCTCTCATCCAGCGCCTTAGTTTTGGTCATTCCACGACGCATATGTTTGTAATTTTCTTGATATATCATTTTTTATACTAATTCCTAAGAACTAGAATAACCAAATAAAAACATATAAATCCTAACTATTACAATGGTTCACGGGTTGCCTCCCGTGTAGCGCCTAATTTAATGTCGCGGCACGACCCATCTCATGACTCATTCGTCATTCAATGTGAGCGCTTAAAGCTCACGATCTACATTATTTCTGAAATAATGCTTGACCCTTTAACCATTCACAAGGAAAGTACAACTCTTATCCTTGTTTTTTAACTCCACAAGACCACGTTGGTTCATCAAAAGGACCACTCCACTTAGATCGAAGCTTTTCGGGGAACAACTTCAACCTTGAATTGAATAGCAGCACTAGTTGACCAGGCTCAAAGGTGCGTGACACAATATGCTTGTCATGCCACTTTTTGGTCTTCTCTTTATACTTCTTAGCATTTTCATAGGTGTGGAGCCTAAATTCATCCAACTCGTGCAGTTGTGTTATTCTCTTCCTACCGGCTAACTCAGCATCTAGATTTAGCTTCTTGATTGCCCAATATGCTTTATGCTCTAATTCAGTTGGTAGGCGACAAGCTTTCCCAAACACCATTCGATAAGAAGAAGTCCCTATCGGTGTCTTGTATGCAGTTCGATACGCCCACAAGCCATCATCTAGCTTGTCAGCCCAATCTTTTCTTTGGGCATTCACAGTCTTTTGGAGGATCTGTTTGACCTCCCTATTCGACACTTCTACCTGCCCACTAGTTTGGGGATGATATGATGTAGCCACTTTGTGTCGCACTCCATATTTGGCTAACAAATTATACACTAAATTATTAATAAAGTGCGTACCTCCATCACTGATCATAGACCTTGGAGTTCTGAACCTGCTGAAGATGTGTATCCAACTTAACTTCACAACCACTTTGCATCATTGGATGGTAGTACAACTGCCTCCACCCACTTAGACACGTAGTCCACTGCGACTAGGATGTATTGATTACCACGGGACGATGGGAATGGTCCCATAAAGTCTATCCCCCAAACATCAAAAGATCTCAACCTCCAGTATATTGCTCAATGACATCTCATGCCTCCTCGAAATGGTGCCCATCCTTTGACACTGATCACAACCTTTCACAAACAAAGGAGCATCAAGAAACCAGATTGTAATACCTTATGCATAGTTCATTCACCTCCGTGGTGTCCACCATATAGTGAAGAGTGACAACTCTCCAACACTTGTGTCGCCTCCTACTCAGCTATGCACCTTCTCATAATCTGATCAGGTCCCTGCTTGAATAAGAAGGACTCATCCTATATATAGAAGTGTGCATCATACTTCAGTCTCTGCTTTTGATGTGTTGAGACCCTAGGTCGAAATAAACCACTCACCAGAAAATTCACAATATCAACATACCAAGGCACTTGAGCAATGTCCAAAGTAAACAATTTCTCATGAGGAAACTCTTCACAAATTTGCCCCTCATTCTTCACATGATTTGAATCCTCCAGTCTAGACAAATGATCAGCTATCTGGTTCTTAGTTCCCTTCTTGTCCCTTATCTCAAGATCAAACACTTGTAGTAACCGAATCCACCTAATCAACCTCGGCTTGGCATCCTTCTTGTTAAACAAGTATCGGATTGCACCGTGATCAGTGTAGACTATAACTTTGGTTCCCACCAAGTATGATCTGAACTTATCAAATGCGAACACTAATGCCAGCATCTCTTTTTCAGTCACAGTGTAATTCGATTGAGCTACATCAAGTGTCTTGCTCGCATAGTAGATGGAATGGAATATTTTCTCTTTTCTCTGCCAAAGTACTACCCCAACCGCTACGTCACTGGCATCACACATAAGCTCAAATGGAAGCTCCCAATTTGGAGCAATCAGGATATGAGCTTCAATCAACTTCTTTTTCAGCAGCTCAAATGCTTGCAAACGCTTTCATCAAACATAAACTTCATCTCTTTTTCTAACAGGTTGCACATAGGTCAAGCAGTCTTAGAGATGTCCTTGATGAACCTCCTATAGAACCCAGCATGTCCCAGGAAGCTTCTAACTCCCTTTACTGTGATGGGAGGTGGCAGCTTCTCAATAACTTCCACTTTAGCCTTGCCAACTTCCAGCTAACTTTTGGAGATTTTCTGCCCCAACACAATGCCTTCTCGAACTAAGAAGTGACACTTCTCCCAGTTTAGCACCAGATTTATTTCTTCACACTTGGCAAGAACTCTGTCAAGATTAGTCAAGCAAAGTTCAAAAGACTCACCAAACACCGAGAAGTCGTTCATGAACACTTCAACAAAATCCTCCACCATACCATGGAAAATTGCCATCATACATCTCTGAAAATTGGTTGGGGCATTTCACAAGCCGAATGGCACGAGCTTGAATGCATATGTGCCATACGGGCAAGTGAATGTAGTCTTCTCATAATCTTCTGGTGCAATGATGATTTGATTATACCCTGAATAACCATCAAGGAAACAGTACTATTCCTGACATGCCAGCCTGTCCAATATTTGATCAATGAAAGGTACCGGATAATGGTCCTTTCTGGTGGCGTCATTCAACTTTCTGTAGTCCATGCGAATCCGCCACCCAATCACTATTCTTGTGGGGATCAACTCATTCTTCTCATTTGTTACCACCATCATTCCGCCCTTCTTCAGCACACACTGTACTGGACTTACCCATTTGTTGTCTAATATTGGGTACACAATCCCTGCATCAAGCCACTTGAGTACCTCTTTTCTCACCACATCCTTCATCAATGGGTTTAGTCTTCGCTGATGTTGTGCACTCGACTTATGCCCTTCCTTCATGTATTTTTTATGCATGCACAGCGTGGGACTAATACCATGGATGTCGGACATTTGCCACCCCAAAGTTGCTTTCCTCTTTTTCAGGATGATTAATGTTGCTTCCACATGTTCATCAGATAATGTTGTAGACAAAATAACCGGTAAAGTTTTATCTTCACCCAAAAATGCATACCTGAGGTGGGCTGGCAATGCTTTTAACTCCAGCTTAGGTGCTTCTTCAACTGAGGGCTTGGGTGGAGGACCCAACACCCTGTTTAGAGGCTCCCATCGATCTCCAGATGTACCCACAAGTGCCACATCAAGAAATTGCACAATTTCATGTGCCTCAGCATCCCCATAAATATCATACCTTACTAACACTCGCTCTAGAGGGTCCTTAGATGCAATGTCGCGAGCTTCTGCCTCAAGATCTATCACAGTTATGGCAAACACCTCTTCATACACAGTTGGCAGTTTTAAAGCTCTATACACATCGAAAACCTCCACCTTATCATGATCCCGCATAGTGAGTTGCCTAGCTACTACATCTATCATCGCCCTCCAGTAGCCAAGAAAGGTCTTCCTAGGATGAATGGGACCTCAGGGTCTGGCACAAAATTCAGCACAACAAAATCTACTAGGAAAATCAATGATCCCACTTGCACTAACACATCCTCTACAACACCCACAGGCCTAGCTACAGATATATCAGCCAATTGTAAGATAATGGTAGTAGGTTTAGGACTACCCAACCCCAGCTTTTTGTACAAAGAAGTCGGCATCAAATTTATACTAGCTCCTAGATCACACAATCCTCGCGCATAAATGATCTGCCCTATAGTGATCTGAACCGTAAAGCTACCTGGGTCTTTCAATTTAGTGGGCAACTTATTTTGGATTCTGGAGCCGCACTCTTCAGTAAGTGCAACAGTCTCATACTCTATCAGCCTCTTTTTATTCGCCACAATCTCCTTCACGTATTTCGCATACCTGGGTATACCCTGCAAAAAATCTACCAATGGCAAGTTAATGTGAACTTGTTTCAAAAGAGAGAGGAACTTACAAAAACATTCATCCTCCTTTTGTTTCTTGAACTTTTGAGGGAATGGAGGATGTGGTTTAACAATTGGTTGCACTTTTTCTTCTTGTGCAACAACTTCTCCCTCCTTGGGTTCACTCTCTTTATTCACAGCATCAGTGTTTCTTTTCTTAGGAGCGAACTCGTCCAATTGTAACCCACTGCGAGTACCTACTGCATTTACTTGCTTGGGATTTGGGTCAGTGTTACCTGGAAAACCTCCTTGTCGTCGTGAGTTCTGCGCACTAGCCAGCTGCCCGAATTGCTTCTTTAGATTTTGTATAGATAACTGATTGTTTCTTGCATCAGCAGCTAATTGGGCTTGATTAGCCATAATCTTTTTCAGCATCTCCTCGATGCTCATGTTTCTAGATTTCTGTTTAGGTTGCTCCCGTTGGGCCTGCTGTTGGTACCCCTGTGTATTTCCTTGGGGTCTATACTGATTCTGGCATTGACCCTGATTTTGATTTCCACCCCAAGTAAAGTTCGGGTGGTTGCGCCAACTTGGGTTATATGAGTTCCCATAATTTTGTTGGCCTCACCCTCGTTGGGCATTACCTACAAAATTCACAAAGTCTGGGTTTGCACCACATACATATGCACTATGATCACCAACTCCACAGATCTCACACCAAGATGGTGGTTGTTGAACTCATTTACTTGTGCAGGTTGTTGTTCCAACTCTAGATTGCTGAAGTGAGTGTTCATAATATTCTGCATAGCAGCAATCTGTGCAGTCAAGGCAGTCACATCATCTACCTCTAACATACCTGCCATTTTCTGAATCACAGGTTTTTTTCCTCCTCCATTCCATTCAGGGTTGACCTGAGAGATCCTGTTCAGCAAGGTGAATAGTTCAGCATATGTCTTCTCCAAAGCCTGTTCACCTGCAGCTGAATCAAGTAGAATCTTGGTGTTAGGCTCCAATCCTTTGATGAAGGTATGGACCAACACCTCATTAGATTGATGATGATGTGCGCTCATCAACATCGATTTAAACCTGTCCCAAGCTTGGTACAAGTTTTCTCCCACTTTCTACCTAAAGCTCAAAATATCACTCCTCAACTTAGCTGTTTTTCCAGATGGAAAAAATCGGATGAGGAACTTCTGTACTAAATCACTCCAAGTGGTAATTGAGTTTGCGGGCTCTGAGTTCAACCATCTTTTTGCTTCCCCAAGCAGAGAAAAAGGGAATAAAGTGAGCCTTACCTAATACACATTCACTCCAACTGGAGTGTACGTATCACTGATCTCGAGGAAATTCTAAATGTGAACTGTTGGATCCTCATGTGGTAGACCAGTGAACTGCCCAATAGTATGCAGTAGTTGCACCATACTCTACTTCAATTCAAACCTCCCACCAGCTTCAGGTTTCTGAATACAGGATGTCACATTGGTAAGACGTGGGATTGCCACGTCTCTTACTCTCAACTCAGCCGTTATTTCAAGTTCATATTCCTCAACTCTTGATACTGGAGATGTAGGTTTACTAGCAATATGAGGGACCGAATAAGTAAGTCGTCTTTGCCATCTCCGGTAGTGAACAAACTTTTTTGGTTCAGCTAGAGGCGATACCAATCCTTGATTATCGTCCAGTTTGAGACTTCAGATTAACCTGCAATAATGAATTGCTAGGATCAAGTTGTCAACATTTGCTTTTTTAACTTCAGAAATTTGAAAAATCAGATAATTTATAATTCTAAAGTCCCCGGCAGCGGCGCCAAAAACTTGTTGCGGCCAAATCGCACACGAAAGTGCACGTGGTCGTTCAAGTATTAAAGTGGCTCTTCTTAAGAGCCGGGTATCGTACCCACAAGGACTAACGCTTAGAATTACTTAATGTCTCTAACTTTCAGCTAAGCACAAGTGTATTCAAGATTTTGAAAGTGATTTAGTTTCTACTTCTAAGATTATAATAAAAATGTAACAACAACAATTCAATTTCAAAGGTTGAAAACATTGATTGGGTAAAGTCCAGGTGGTATAATGCAACAACCCTATAAAGTACAGTCTCAACTCCTTGATTGCATGACCAAGATAAATAGGGCATGGTACACTCATGAGGACCATGTTTTCCTCTAACTTTTAGAATTATAAAAGAGCAAATCGAAAAGGATCAAGAGAGAGACCAAAACATGTCCAAAATGATTACCCAGATAGATATTTTGGCTAAAAGTTTCATGGGTGTTGGTACAAAGAGTGTTAATATTGTGGGTGTTGGTGGAGTAAACCCCAATGAAGCACAATTTGAAACACTGTACAATGAGGAAGTGAACTTCCTAGCCAATCAAGGAGGAGGCAATCGTGCAAACTACCCAAGACCGGGTGGAAATCAAAGTTAGAATAGAGAGGAAGGTTGTAGAGACCGTGACAGAGATAGGTGTTGCGGCCAAATCGCAAACGCAAGTGCACGTGGTCATTCAAGTATTAAAGTGTCTCTTCTTAAGAGTCGGGTATCGTACCCACAGGGACTTACGCTTAGAATTACTTAACTTCTGTAACTTTTAGCTAAACACAAGTGTATTCAAGATTTCAAAAATGATTTAGTTTCTACTTCTAAGATTATAATAAAAATGTAACAACAACGATTCAATTTCAAGGTTGAAAATAGTGATAGGGTAAAGTCCAGGGATGCAGCTTTTTTCAGGAATAATGCAATCAATATCATTTATATAGGTAATTATCAACTATCAAATTAATGAATCATAGGGTTAAATGTATGATCATGGTCTCCCGACCTCTAATTGCCTACGATAAATAACATCCTACCTACATTGTTGAGCGGGGATATGATGGATTAAGTACCGAGCATTACGATTTCTTCCTGTATGGTGACCCAAGCAAGGTTTCTAGGTATATCCTTATCCTAGATACAAATTAACCCTATTTATTTAGAATTAATCATGCTCCTTATGTCCCATGTTCTATCCTCTTATTCATCTCCCGAGTTCAATTTGGACAATGTATTTATTTCAATGGTGATCATGTTGGTTAGCTTATAAACAACTAAAAAGACTATATACGACTACAAACGAATATATTTTGAATTCAAACTAGGCATAAATGCGGGAATAATTAGCATTCTAGGCATATAAATATGCCTAAGATCAATAGGTGTGATCGTAATGCCATTTGGAAGGAAAGAGAGTGTAATAAGGACAGGTACGTCCCTCCCCATGAGCGTCAAAAGCCCAGGGAATCTGAAGGTGAGCATATAGAAGATATGCTCTCATGTATCCTCAACAAAGTTGAAGGGTCAAACAAAGTGTTGAAAGATATGAAAGAGGATGTCTCAACTCTCAATCAGATGGTGACCTCTCACTTAGTCTCTATTAAGCAGGTGGAGACCCAAATGTGTCAAATTTCTTCTTATTTGAATCCCAGACAACAAGGGGGGTCGCCTAGTGACACAATGGCAAACCTAAAAAATGAAGCTAGATTCGGTATCCTCATAGTGCCACGACGTTAACTAAGGCGCTTCTTGGGAGCTTTTAATGCTTTAGTCTTTGATTTTGAATAATGGGTGTTGAAAAGATTTGGAAAATGAGAAGTTTGGCGAGCACAAGTCCATTTGGTGACCCGCCAAACAAGTCCACGAGCCTCAACTTGGACTGTCGGTGGAACCACCAGGCCTTAAGGGGAACTCTGTAAAACTCGGCAAACTAAATGCTTGATCGGCAACTCACCGAATAGGCCAGCGGGCCCGACTTTGTCCGTCATTTGAACCCCAAAAAATTGTTAGAGGTCCTGTAAAAATCGACGAGGGAAATACCACTTGGCGCATCGCCGAATGGGTCAGCAAACATGACTTACTCCACCGATGGTGCCGTGAACTGAAAGGTTTTAAAAGCCAAGCGGTTTAAAATTTCCAAATCCTTCTTCTTTTCTCATTTCTAACTATCGTACCCTCTCACCCAACTTTTGATCTTCCTTATTTTATTCCTTTTACCCACATTTTTGTGCGATTTTGTGCTCGAAATTGGAGAAATTTGCCGCCTAGCTATTCAAATTCTAATTTCAGCATACATGTTGGTTTTCCAAACCCCGTACTTTAAGTTTGTGGTTGAAATCAAATGCAAATGGTAATTTGGTGTTGTTTGATTTTGGTTAATTGGTTTCATCGTGTTTTATGTGTTGGATTGCCCGTATTTTGTGTAAATATGTGCCTAAATGCTTTAAATTGATCGATTCACGTGTCTTGTTTGTTAAAATCAGTTATAAATTATTGGGTTGCGGTTTATTTATGTTGGGTATAGTGGGGTGAAGTCTAAGTAACCCCGAATTGTGCCAAATGACGTAATCTGCCCAATGATGGAGTGTTTGACGTCATTCTTAAGGGCAAAAGTCATCAAATGGCCAATTTTTGCCAAATCGGGGTAAGTCTGAGTACCCCGAGGGCATGGGTTGTATGGGTCTGCCTTTAATTAAATAGTGTTATTGTTGAATTTTTAATTCGGGGGGTGTGGGTTTGATTTGGAAGCTTGGTGTTGAAAATTGGCACGTTGGGCCGTTTGGCGAGCTATGTCGAGCTCGTCGAGTGGTTCGGCGGTCTACCAAAGTCCACCTTAGATCGCCATTAATTTCAAATTGTAGTTGAGTTTGTTCAGTAACTTTCGGCGAGATGCCTGAGCTCACCGAGTACACTCGGTGACTCGCCGAAAGGTATTCTTAATCGCCCTTTTTGCGCCCCTAACCATTAAAATGCACTGTAACTTTTGGTGGGCTACTCCTAGCTTGCCGATTGGTTTCGGCGATTCTCCGAATGGCCCTGACCATTGCCAACCTGTCTTGATTCTGGAAAATTTTCTCACTGGTATTTTTCGCGAGCCTGATCTAGCTCACCTAAGTGACTCGAGGACTCGCCAACTGGTTCGACAAGTCTTTCTGCAACTAAATGTCTGCACCTTTCTTGAATTATTTCTAACATGTTTCTATGTGTTTTGCAGAAATGGCTAGACCCAAAGTGTCATGAAGAGACATGCCGCCTCGCAAGTGAGCAAGAGGAATTATGATAAATGAGGATGCTGATGCATCCAAGGCAAAGGCATCTAAGCTCCCTACAAATGGAGGGAAAGGCAAAGAAAATGGCAACGCGCCCGTGGTAGAGTCACGGGAGGCCAGCTCCGACAGTGAGGGAGTCTATGAGACTCACCATCAGATAATGAGGGAGATTCCCTAGACAATTAGGCCTCCATCTCTGGGCCTGAGGATAACCAGCTTCTACATGCCCAGACAGCAGAGATGAGCTCCAAGGGGATGCATGACCCGTCTAGGATCCGGATGCCTCAAACTCTGCCTCTTCCTAAGCTTCAGCTCAGACTGTGGTCCTAGCACCACCTGTACAAGGTTCTCCTGCCCGGTCTC